CTACTAGGAGCAAGGACGCTACTAGGGGCTCCTGGCATCGCTACTAGCAGCAAGGACGCTACTAGGGGCTCCTGGCATCGCTACTAGGAACAATGTTCGCTACTAGGAGCAAAGGGCATCGCTACTAGGAGCCAGGTGCTTTGGAGAGCTTCTGAGAGTAGTCTGTGTCCAAGATGTTGGGTTTTGGGTCTTTGACATGACGAAGTGATGGTTTGTCAATTGGGTCTTAAAAAGGAAGACTGCTGTTTGGTGTATCAGAACATTTGGTGTATCAGAGAAGAGCTGATCAAACTGGTATTCCCTCACTCTTTTCGATGGGTACGGGTGGGAAAAGAGCATCATCGATCGATCAAGACAGATGCCCATGATTCCTTAAGATGAAGTCAAATAACTATCAGTGTTTTTGGAGGTCATGAAATGACTCCAGGCAGAGCCCGAAGAGCCGTCAAATGAGTCCACGAATGATTCGGATGCTGTCCAATCCTCAGGTGTTTGTGTGTGCGGCGCAGTACTGCGGCGCAGTACTGGCGTACGTCCTCCAAGTCGGTATATTGTACAGTTGCTACGTGGTCCTGAATCATATATGTGATCTACGAGTCTAACTGGACAAAGCAACACTGCAACGCAAGCACTACCGACTCTTCTTCAATCAGTGCCTTGCTCATTCACCACCAGTTGCACCCTTTGCGCTTTGAATGGATATCATTTCCACTGGCACGTTCAGGACAACGAAACAACCGACTCCGATGGCAACTCGCAGCTCCGGCCAAGTTGCCAAACAACACGGTTGGGGACGACGGAACGCAGTGCTAAGAAGACTACTTGTAAGGCACTTGTTACTAGTAGCGATGCACTTGTTACTACTTGTAACAGCATTACACACTGACTTTGGATGAATAATTTTGGTTTGGCTTTTAGGCAGTTTACCCAAACACAGATGTGCTTCACATTCTTCCACAACCAAATGCGAATGTGAATTTGTTGTTGCAAAGTTATCAGTGCAAGCGACAATGTTCCAACAAGGTTTCGCTGCTATGAGTGCAGCGTAGGGTGCTTTGCGATAGTGGTCAATGAGGAAAACCTTCGGCATTCCTTCGGCCAAGAGCAACTAATTCTCACTAGGCATCGCTAGGCTCCTTGTTCCATTTGATCGTTTAATCATTTTCCAAATCTACACCTCTCGGTCTATGATTCCATTTGTGTTGCCAGGACCTCAACCAGTTCGACCACTACCAGCAGTACCACTACGAGTGTCAGTAGCACTTCAACACAGACGGTCCAGACGCCAAGGGTGCAGTGAATCAAAGTCAGTCGTCTCTCCCAAACCAACTCGCGAGCGATCCATCCTCGCACCTCCAGGTCCTTCTCTCCCAAAACGACAGTCTGGGAAGAGAAGCAGAAGAGAAGCAGATAAACTCCTAAGGCCCTCCCTTGGTCGTATCTTTTCTGAGCTGTGAACATTTGATTCAAATTCCACTGATTTTTCAAGTGAGGATTGCCTGCCACCATGCTTTTGGTAGAACGCCTCGAAGCACTAAGTGAATAACATTGGCCTTGCAAGTCCTGTTAGGGGTGGAGGCCATCGCTCTTAGGTTGGAGGCCATCGCAAGTATTTTCTCAAGGCCTCCACAGGCGTCGTGGTTGGTGCCATGTTCTCCCGGCTCGCGCTGCGTTCCACGCCACGGTCGCTGGCATGTCGGACCGGCGTTCACCGGGCCTTCGCCACAAAACCCAAGTGCGTGATGCTGAACGCAGCGCGCTTGGACTTTGATGGTCGCATGGATTCTTGGTTTAGCTAGGAACAAGAAGCTACTAGGGCTCCTGGCCTTACTACTAGGAGCAAGGACGCTACTAAGGGCTCCTGGCATCGCTACTAGGAGCAAGGACGCTACTAGGGGCTCCTGGCCTTACTACTAGGAGCAAGGACGCTACTAGGGGCTCCTGGCCTTACTACTAGGAGCAAGAAGCCACTAGGGGCTCCTGGCCTTACTACTAGGAGCAAGAAGCTACTAGGGGCTCCTGGCCTTACTACTAGGAGCAAGGACGCTACTAGGGGCTCCTGGCCTTACTACTAGGAGCAAGGACGCTACTAGGGGCTCCTGGCATCGCTACTAGGAGCAAGGACGCTACTAGGGGCTCCTGGCATCGCTGCTAGGAGCAAGGACGCTACTAGGGGCTCCTGACCTTACTACTAGGAGTCAGGACGCTACTAGGGGCTCCTGGCATCGCTACTAGGAGCAAGGACGCTACTAGGGGCTCCTGGCATCGCTGCTAGGAGCAAGGACGCTCCTAGTTAAGCTCCTCGCATTAATATCCTTCAGTTCGCCAACGCCCATTGATCTCCCCGACGTCCCCAAACGTCGCTGGGACACCGAAAGGGTGCCCTAGTAGCGATAGCCTCCAACCTAATGTCCTTGCCCCTAGTTGTAATGGCCTGCACCTAGTAGCTTCTAGTTTCTAGAAAGCTTCAAAGACCTACTACTAGCGAACCTTGATCCTAGTAGCGAGCACTGAGGACTGGGGCAAAGTGACCAACGTCACCGAGTTCACCAGCTATGACATCTCGGCCACAGAGGAGATTGTGCCACGGGCGCAGGGCATGGACATCGTGATGAACAAGGAATTCCCCATTCCAGGCTACTAGGAACAAGTGCATCGCTTCTAGTAACAAGTGCCTTACTAGTAGTAACAAGGACGCTACTAGGAGCAAAGGGCATCCCTACTAGGAGCAAGGATGCTACTAGGAGCACGGACGCTACTAGGGGCTCCTGGCCTCGCTACTAGGAGCAATGTTCGCTACTAGGAGCCAAGGGCATGTAACATTCCAAGCAGGAGACCAGAATTCAGTGAAGAGGTTGGAGGCCATCGCTACTAGGGTCACCATCGCAAATAGTTCAGTGAGACACAATGCTGTGTTCTTACTTTTAATGCTAATGTTTTGCTCTTTGGGCTCCCTTTTGCGAGCAATGTGATCACGTCCAAGGTGACATCATTCGAGCTTTGCCACCTTCTGTCAAGCTCATCGCTGAGGCGGGCAATGCCTTGAGAAAATACTAGCGATGGCCTCCACCCTAGTAGCTAGCCAAACATTGTTGTTTGGGAATCAGAAATGACTTGCACAGGTTTGAAGCTGAAATGGTACCAATGTAGTTCTTCGAAGTTGTTTTGACAAGAATATAAGATGATGAACAGTGGAAAAGAGAAGATTGTAACACAAGGAATATGGGATCAACATGGATCAACTCAGAGATGTCTCCAACTAGGCTGGCACGGGATACAACAACATCGACCTGGACGCTTGTCGTGAGAAGGGCATCGCCATTTGTAATGTGCCCGAGTACACCACGGAGGCCCATGGGCGACGAGTAACAAGGACGCTACTAGGAGCAAAGGGCATCGCTACTACAAACAAGAAGCTACTAGAAACAAGAAATATATAGAATTAAGTTCAATTAAGTATAATTCTATTAAAATATTTCAAATTCAATAGAATATACATAGAATATACATAGAATATTAAAATTGGTAGCAAAAGAGGCTACTAAGAGCTACCAACACCATGGAGGCCATGGGCGACTATGCCATCACACTGGTCATGGCGCTCTCATGCAGTTTGGCTCCACAGATGAAGGCCTTGGCCAAAGGTGATCGGAGACTCGGGACTCGGTAGGAACAAGTGCCTCGCTACTAGTAACAAGTGCCTTACTAGTAGAAACAAGAAGCTAGAATTAAATTAGAATTAGTAAGAAGTATAAATTAGAATTAAGTTAAGAATGCTCCTAGTAGCGATGCCAGGAGCCCCTAGTAGCGCCCTTGCTCCAAGTAGCGATGCCCTTTGCTCCTAGTAGCTTCTTGTTACTAGTAGTAATGCACTTGTTACTAATAGCTTCTTGTTTAAATTAAAGGATGTGTAAAGCGAATTCAAAATAAGAGCGACACCTTCCATTGCTTTCCCCGAAGGTTCTTTCTTGACAACACTTGTGTGTTTTCCCTCCCATGAAGATGCCAAGAACCATCAAGAAACCAAGGAAATACATGCACCAATGCCACTTGGGCCACCTGGACCACTTTGAGATCCGGGGCAAGACCTACGGCATCATTGGCGGCTTAGGCTACATCGCATCCAACATCTCCAAGAAGGCGGGTAGAACATAGAGGAGTCGCCTATTTTATGCCTCCAACCTAATAGCGATGCCCCCCCAACCTAGTAGAACATACTCAATGAAAAAGCCGATGTGTTTGCGCAATGTTTGAGCCTTTGTGCTATAGATGAGTCTTCAAGCCAAATTATAGAGAGGAGATGAGAAAAGTTGGAGCCACGCAAGCAGCAGAACGTTTGGAACTTACTGTTCGATTTCATTAAACCAGTGCTAGGTCATGTCGGCTCATGTGGGATCTCCCAAGAATCCTACCCAAAGAGTTGGGATCTAGACATCTAAAAGAGCAGTTTAAGACTTTCAGATACCTTAGGTTTAGAAAGGCTTGCGTAGGAGTGTGAAGTACCAAAGCTGGCTTCTTCCTACTTGGGAAGGTGTTAAACTAACCGATTTTCACCAGCCATGTCCAAAGACTCCTCCAGCGGCTTCCCGCCGTTTTTTTGCGATTTTTTGCCCAGAGGCGCTGAACCTCGGCATGAGGGTCATCGTTTCAGACATGCCCTCGACTCCGTTGGGCATGCGTGAGAGTGGTGTGGAAGTGGTGACCATGGACGACCTTTTGAAACAATCGGACTTCATCAGCCACTGAGGTGAAAAAGACACTGTAAAGACCTTTCAAAACCCCTTTAGGGCTTTGACATTTTTGTGTGTTATTTTCTGATTTCGATGTGTTTCGTGTTGCATATTCAATCAATTCTATACTATTTTTTCCTGGTGGGTTTCTAGAAGTTTGATGCATGGAAAGGAGTCATTGGAGGCATGCACACATGTGTACGTGTTGCTTTGTAGGGGCCAAGAAAACCTTTTGAGGCCCTATGGTGCCTTTGAACAAGCACACCAAGGGTCTTCTCAACACAGCTTGCTTCGACAAGATGAAGCCGACAGCTTACGTCATCAACACGGCGCGCGGCCCTATTGTTGACCAGGACTGAGACTCCTGCACCAAGCCCGTGCACAAGAGGTGGGAAAACATCCCGACCAAAACCTGGATTCACAGTCGATACATTTCATGCTTAAACAGATCCTAGTAAGGCACTTGTTACTAGAAGCGATGCACTTGTTACTAGTAGCTTCTTGTTACTACTAGTAAGGCACTTGATACTACTGGCAATGCACCTGTTACTACATATTCGATGAACATCTTCGGACACCACATGCATCCAATGTTAGCAATCCATTTAGCCACCCATGCAAGCCGTTTGATGTAAGCCGTTCGCCAGGATGCTCTGATCGACGCCCTCCGAAAGAAGAAGATCGCTGGTGCTGCGCTGGACGTCTTCGGTGAAGGATCAGCACCTCCACCGCCCTTGCCAGACAACAGCCCATTGTACGATGCTCGGTCGGACAGCATGGCGAGAACGGTAAGGGCTTGTAATGAAGCGATGACGGCTGTCCTGGATATTGGCCCCGACTGTGTGTTCGTCTCACGAAATCCCCAACAGCAGCTGTGTTTTGAACGCAGGAGAATGCTGACAATGTTGCATGGTTTGAACTCTTATAATGCTGTTTGCGTTGGTCCAATCGATGATGTCACACCAGTGAACCTCATTTTAGTCCAAATCTTGAAACAAGACAAATCCAAGAAGAACGAAGATCTAAGGATGTCTTCAACGAGTTTGAGAATGTGATTCTGACGCCCCACATTGGTTGGCAGCGTGTGGAGGCCCGCCAGCGAGTGGTGGATGGCTGCGGGGACAACATCGCCAAGTTCACTCGTGGCGAGGCCAGGAAGATCACAGTGTTTCCAACGCTTTTATGGAAGAAAATCTTGCCTGAGAAGAAGTCAGGAAGAACTGGGAAGAAAGATAAAGGGGGGAATTTAGACGAACAGATTCTAAACAGCTCAAAACGACGATTCTTTTTGGAAAAAGAGAAGGCAAAAAAGGAAGTTCTTGTTGGTCTTGCATCAACAAGCGGTAGTGATGTCCATGTTTGCTTTTTCGAAAGCGTAGAGCGGCGCGAAGATTCGGGTGGATTTCGGAGAAAACATCGGATTTCGATGTTGACGCAGCAATCGAAAGAACCAAAATCCTGTTGCTGAATCTTAGCAGTGAGAACTAGTAACAAGTGCATCGCTACTAGTAACAAGTGCCTTACTAGTAGTAACAAGAAGCTACTAGTAACAAGTGTATCGCTTCTAGTTTTAAACATGCTTTCTAAAAATGTGGTTGTTGTACAAGACCCTAAAGCTTCTATAGGAGAGTTCCTGCTTAAAAGATGTTAAGACCTGCCAGGCCATGAACATTGACATGACAACTGGGCTCCCGATCAGATGAGCGTAGCACAGCGTACGCTGTTTACCAAGCGACAGCGCAGCACAGTGGTTCGGAGGAGCTGAGCAGCTTCGTTTCCAAGTTTTCCCGAGGACCACCAGGACCACTCCAATGTATGAGCGGCTTCCCGAGAGTCCCATTTCGAGAAAACTGCTCCCATTTGGACGCATGACGCGGTGCTACATATGATGGTTCAGTTCTTTTCGCTGGTGCTACGCGTGCTTTTCGCGTGTTAGTCACCAGTTCTTGAGCTTTGGATGCCTAGGTCACCAGCACCTCGACGCGTGGCCCTCAGAGCGAACAGAATGCACAGAGATCACCATGGCAGTCCTTTCTAGGAGCAAGGACGCTACTAGGCAAGGACGCTACTAGGGGCTGCTGGCATCGCTACTAGGAGCAAGGACGCTACTAGGGGCTCTTGGCATCGGTACTAGGAACAAGAGGCTCCTGGCCATACTACTAGGAGCAAGAAGCTATGGGCTCCTGGCATCGCTACTAGGAGCAAGGACGCTACTAGGGGCTCCTGGCCATACTACCAGGAACAAGAGGCTCCTGGCCATACTACTAAGAACAAGAAGCTAGGGGCTCCTGGCATCGCTACTAGGAGCAAGGATTCTTCTTTGCATTTCGGTCATTCAAGTTGTTTCTGCTTCAAGGAGCAGCAGCATCACCTCTAGCAGCACGAGCACAAGCCCCTGGTTTGCACCTGGAAGGAAGCAGAAACAGTTCTTGTCGACAGCAAGGGGGAATTCAGTTCCACATCGAGGTAGTTCTTGGTGCAAAGGCGATCTTGCCAAATTAATTACACTAGTTCTGAATACAGAACGGTCTCCTGACGAATGTTAAGCCAAAAACATAACAAGTATGCGCACAGCCAAAGACCAGAAAAGCATCCTAACCGCGAAGATCGCGAAGCTGTGTTTGACATTGCAGACCCAACAAGCACAAGTCTGTGCTGGAAGGCAGGCGAAAGGACAGAAAGGAAAAATGTAAAAATAAAAGGAAACCTAGTTACTAATAGCGATGGCCTCCAACCCAGTAGGGATGGGCTCCAACCTAGTAGCGATTTCCTGGGATGGAAGGAAAAGGAATTTGTAAAGGACCTAAAAGGGTGCCAAAAGTGTGGGAAATATGTTCAGCTGCGTCGAATTTCTAGCTTAAATTTAAACTAACCCATTCGGAAGTTGTGTTAGAGAACTTTGTCGCTGAAAACCCTGGTGAGCTCCAAATTGGTGTTTGCCTTTGTTGCCCTACCTCGCACATCAAGCCTTTGAGGCTTTGAGACAGATTTCCAATCGTGATTTAGATGAACATTTCTCAGCTAGATGCATTGGGAATCGTTTCACTGGAATCATTTCACTGGGCATTGAGGCACCCTTCCACTGTCTTGGAGTCTGCAGAGTCTTGTCTCTCTTACATCCCTGAGGGTACAACTTCGTTGGTGAAGAGAAACCCCATGCTTCGTGTGTTGTCTTGCGTTTGAGGTTCGACTTCCACCTCCAGCACCTCGAGCACAAGCAGCAGCTCAAGCTCCAGTAGCACCACAAGCACCAGCACAACCAGTAGCTCTACATCCACTGACCTCAGCAGACAGCTCAGACAGCCAAAGGTCGAAGGTGAAGGTCGAGACCGACCCTCTAGTTGTGAACATGTGAGTGTCCATGCATCGAAGGCGACGAAGTATCAACAATGTTTGCTATTAGGAACCAGAAGCTATTTTGTCAAAACCTAGTATTCAAATAAATCGTTTTTGTCAGATCACACTGTACAACTAGTAGCGTAGGACGCTACTCGTAAGGCCAGGAGCGCCCCTAGCAGCGTCCTTGCTCCGTTCGTAGCGATGCCCTTTGTTCCTAGGAGCGAACATTGTTCCTATGTTTTACTGACTGCTGTCTTCCTTGTTTTTTCATGTTTATTCCTCTTACCCATCCCATACTCTTCAATCTTTATCACCGTGCAACACGTCTCACAACGCATCCACTGAGATATGTCGGATGCTGTGAACTTGAGCTCCTTCGAGCTTTGTGTCGCCGCCTGCCAGGTGCGAAAGCGACACGTCACGACGTGACGATGATGGGTTGGTGGATCTAGTAGCGTCCTTGCTCCTAGTAGCGATGCCCTTTGTTCCTAGTAGCTTCTTTTCTTGTTCCTAGTAGTAAGGCCAGGAGCCCCTAGTAGCTTAAATTGGTCAAACGAAATCTCGCTCAAAAAGAAACTCGGTCTGTTTAAGACACATATTTGACCCTTAAAATTGGAGTTTCTGACACAACTTTCACGCTTGTTCATTTGCATCTCGAGAATTCCATCAGTTTGTGCAAGGATGCCCTGGCTGCTGCATATAATGCTTCAGGGAATCTGAGTCGCTTGTCCAGATGACCGAACGACCTGGATTTCTGTGGTGGTGAAATCAAACAGCGTCGCACTTAGGTGGAGGCCATCGCTAGTAGGAACAAGGACGCTACTAGTAGCTCCTGGCCTTACTACTAGGAACAATAAACTACTAGGAACATAGGGCATCGCTACTAGGAGCAAAGAAAGTAATAGGTTAGAGGCCATCACTCTTGGATGTTGTTGAAGTATCCCTATCACCGGTTCTTTTCCTTTTGGCCCGGACTGGTGGAAACGAGGTCTTGACGACCCACGGAAAACCGACAAACGGAATACTTTAAAGAAAACACGAAGATTATATAAAAGGACGGAATAAATAACGGAAGCGATGTGTCTTCGAATTCTAAATTCAATAACTCTATAACTTCCAATTCCTTTTTTGAGATCTTGTTTCCTTTCTGTGAATTGTTCTTGCTTCTTTGTTTGTTTAGGTCTTGGCTTTTAGATGCCCCTTGCTTGCTACTACCCACCACTCTGTTTCTTGTTATTTTTTGCCAACGTCCATTTGAGCTGAGGCACCAACCTCACGATTCAGCTGGCAGCCCGATGTTTCAAGCAATGCATGGCCTGGGTTCCCAGGATTCTTCGAAGTCGAAAAGCTCGACTAAGTCGACTTGCTCAGGTGAATCGGACGATTGGCGAGCCCAAGCAAAGGCGTCGGGCAAAGTCGGACGAAAGGAAGGAAGCATCTAGGAACAAGTGCCACGCTACTAGTAACAAGTGCCTTACTAGTAGTAACAATGTTTGCTATTAAAACTTAAAATTACTAGTAAAGAAGGTTACTATAGGACCTTTTCGCGCGCGCGCGGGGGGGGGTAGGAGCCCCTAGTAGCATCCTTGCTCCTAGTAGCAATGCCAGGAGCCCCGTTCGTAGCTTCTAGTTACTAGTGGTAATGCCGTGCCCTTGTTTGCTACTGTATCAGAGATGCTATCAGATGCTATGTTGTTCATCATGGATATGAGAATTTGAGCTGACTTTCTGAATACTGGCAAGTCACTGGCAAGCTTTGAAGTTCAGGTGTCTCCCGTGTGATCCTTGAATTGCTTGTGAAGTCTCCACCATGCCTCCAGAGTTGCATGTTCTTTTGGGAGAAAGAAAGGAAAGAAAAGAAGGAAAGGAAAGTCTACTAGGGATGGCCTCTACCCTAGTAGCGATGGCCTCCGACCTACACCCCAATTGCGATAGACTTTTGTGTAACTGTGTAGGTTCTGCGACATCCTGGACGTAACATTATTCCGGCTGATTCCATGCCCGCTGAGCGCGGGGCTCCACAGTGTGTCTGTGAAGCCAACGACCTTGGGCTTTGCAGACCGCGCCAGCAGGCGAGGGGCTTTGCTGCGACGTTTGTCAGAATGGTGAAACAAAGTCGCAATAGATGATTGTACAAAGAGAAGATGATTTGTTTGATGTCCACAAATGGTGGGCAGTGTTTACATGCATGGAGTCGTTGTATCAATAAAACCGACAAAAAACTACAATGGCTAGTTTTCTAGCAGTCATACAGGGTGGTCCTTGACCAGACAGAGAAGATGAGGTGCTAAAATAGAGCAATGATCAGAATCTAAATGAAGATAACCACGTACGACCATATGCTGCCTCGTTTCTGCAGAAGTAAAGCAGACTTCCACATCACGCCTGGTTCTTAGCTGTCACCGATGTCAAGAGAAGCATGACCACAGCTGACACTTAGCCACATGCCAGAGGAATAGTAGTTGCATTTTCTGTTTGAGTCAATATAGTTGTTTGCCCAAATAGCAGCGAGGGGTGCTTCAACAAGGCTGTACTTTGTTGGCCACAGCTCTTGTATCAGCTTGATTGCGCGTTTCACAAAGTAACGATCTGATAAACAAAGGGTCAAACGCACCACGCCGAATATGTGGCAATCTCTTTTTGAAAGATGCTTCAAAAATGAGGCAAGAGCTTCGAACAGCCAGTATGGAGCCTTATGGAGGAGTGTCGGCTGGCGGCAAGGCGGGCCCTGTGTGTTGCGCATGTGTCAAGGTGTGGATCCCTTGGTTGGGAGCCAAATCCCATGGAGTGTACTTCTCACTCTGCGACACCACAGAGCAAGCACCTCAGTCCCCCTGATTGCAGAAGTGCATGGATGGATTTCTGAATGCTCGCTGTAGTGGCACCCCCTGAGACACGCATGTTTGAAATAAAGTGAAAGAAGATTGCAAGAGAAACCTTTTGTTTGAGGCCACCAGGGATAGAGAGTGACGTAGGAGGAGCGCGAACACGAAGTGCAGATGCATGCAATGCATGTCGACGGAGTCGAAGTCGGACGGGTTAAACAGAGTTCACAAGGACGTTGTGAATTTGTGAAGAGGAACTCGCAGCCAAACATAGAGTTCGAGGAGGTTCCAGTCCCCAAGTATTAGAGTGAACTCGCCAATGAAAAGACCTTTTGACATCCAATCTACCCCTAGGTCGAAGCAATCGTTTCTTTTGTTGAGATGTGAGTGTTGCCTGGACCGAAGGACACTGATAAGGAAGCATAAGGAAGCATCACATATCTCTGTCAGGTGGTGACAATCACTGGCGTCGGTTTTGATGAAGATCCCAAAAAAGTGCAGGTCTTAGAGAACCTTCTTTGTCTTACCTCCATTCTGTCTCACACCAGAATTCGGTTCCAGTTGGGTTTGAAGCTGAAGATATCACGTCGCACGAACTTGGGATGTCAGAGATGTTCGAGATCCTATCATGCATTGTTTCTAATAGCTTCTTGTTACTAGTAGTAAGGCACTTGTTACTAGTAGCGATGCACTTGTTACTAGTAGCGATGCACTTG